CCGCTGTGTTAACTCTGAACTGTGTGCTGGAGCCAGTCACGCCTCCTCTCTGGGCCTCAGTGTTTCCTTGTTTACATAAGCGGACAGTGTCAAGATGATGGGTTCCACCTTGTCTGCCGCCAGGGAGGGCAGACTTGCCTGAAGTCACCTGCCTCCCTTTTCACCCAGGATGGTGGAGGCCAGGGTGGGACATAAGGCACAGGGACCAAGCTAAGGAAAGGGATCAGGCAGGCAAGGGACAGATAAGCATGCATCGTGGATGCAGCTTCTGAGCTGAGGCTGGGGAGAAGCGGGCCTGTTTGCTCATGAAACAGCATTTATTTACAGTGGGTTTGGGTGAAAACCTGGCCTAGCTTACTAAAATAATTGCATGCAACAAATCCTTCCTCCCTCCCACTCCAACTCCCCCAAGATTTCTGCTCTCTTATAGAGACAGAGGCTGAGCAAGTTCCAGAGAGAGGCTGCAAGCTAGAGAAAGTCACAGACAAAGGGAAGAAAAAAACTAAGGGATGAGTGGCTGGGAAGGAGGAAGACCCCAGAAAGGCTGGCGAAGGAAGAAGAGCCCAGCAGCCTGCTGGGCCCTCCCACACTCCATCCTAGGCTCCATAGTGGTCATCCGATGTCTCCTACAGCTGGCCCAGGGTCAACTGTGGTCCAAAACGACCAAAAAAGAAACATTCCAGAAATGAACAATTCTTGACTTTTAAATAACGTTTATGGCAGAACATTGTTGTAATTGTTCTATTTTATTTTGGGCGATGGCTGCTCATCTCTTAGAACACCTTAAATCAGGTATAGATACATACCTTGATTTCATAAACTCAGGCTCATCAAGGTGTGTGTGTTCAGGAGGAAAGCTAGGACATGTGGGTTTGGAACCGTGTGCAGATCCAGCACCCACTGGGATCCTGGACTGCATCCCACACAGAGGAGCCGGGGCTGCTAGGCCCTCTCCACTCAGTCTTCCTCATCCCCAGTGTGTCCCCTGCTTCCCTATGTCCCCTGTTCCCAGATGCTCTCCTCCCCTCTTGCTGTGGGCTGAGTGACAAAGTCCTGAACCACCCCCGCCCACGCCTTGGAGCGTAACTGGTTCATCGACAGGGTCTTCTAAAGAGAGGATGAGGTTCAAGTGAGGTCATTAGGGTGGCCCTCATCCCACCAGACTGGAGGGCTTTTGAGAAGAGGACATTTGGACAAGGACGTGGACAGTGGCAAGGCCACGTGAAGACATGGCGAGAAGATGTCATCAACAAACTGAGGAGAGAAGCTCAGGAAAAACCAGCTCGGCCAGCACTTTGCTCTTGGACTTCCAGCTTCCAGAATTTTGAGAAATGAGTTTTTGTTGTTTAAGCCCCTTGTTCTATGGCTCATGGTGACGGAAGCCCCAGAGAACACACGTCCTCTCTCTGCCCCGCCCAGCCCTGCAGCACCTTCCCCTCCACCTCCACCGCGCTGCCCCACACCCACCACCACAGCCGGAGAGAGCCCTGTGTCACCAGGAGGACTTGGTCACCGGCCAAGGGAGCCCCTGGCTTTCGGAGGAGCCTTAAGGAACTCACTTCTGTTCCGTGGGATTCACTTCCCTTCAAACATACAGAAGGCGTGACCCGGCTTGTGTGAGCATGAAGTAATTCCAAGGGGACCACAATTTGCCAATGGATGGAAGATCCACAGTGGAAAGCTATTATGTCTGTGGCTGGGGGAAAGTCACCAAGTGCATTGAACAAATGAACAACATGCGGGAATGTATGTTCTCGAGAAATGACAGCAGTGTTTCAAGAACTGGAACAGATAATCAAGACTAAACATTTTGGATCTAGTTCCAATTTGTCACTCCAGGCTCAAGCCTCCTGATGTCCCATCTACGCCAGGCCAGCAGGACCCCTGAGGTTTGATGTGGGGAGCCCCAGTAGCATGTCATGGAAGGGAGCGGATGGAATGAACCTGGTCCTCCACATCTTCTCTGGGCCTGACACCATCATATAAATCCCCTCTACCAACAGGGAGAGCAGACGTTAGGCTATTTTACAGATAAGAAAAGAAATCTAGGTCTGATCCGGGGTACTGCCCAAGGCTGAATGGCCGCAACTAGAAGAGTCTGGATTTAAACTCACATGAATCTGGCTCAAAATCCACACTCTTCCCCTGCAGTGGGGTGTCCGGTGCCATCGGGCTCTCCAGGTGCTAGGGCAGTGGAGGTTTTCAGCTGGAGCTGGAGTGGGGTGCTGCTCAGAGGCTCCTGGCAATGGCTGCAGACACCGTTTTATCTTAGGACTTGGGGTTTGTACACTAAGAGCATCCAGCGGCAGAGACCAGTGATGCTGCTAGCCTTCCTACCGTGCACAGGGCAATGGCCACAGCCCAGATCCCCTGGACTAGGGTGACAGAAAGAATGACCTTCCTGAGCCCCTACTGTGAGTGGGGCATATAGAGTAGATGCTCTCAGGCACAGCGAGTCACAGAACACCACTGCCTAGAAGGGAATTATGACAGTCCCAGTGTTAAAAGTGAGGGACACTCAGGGACATTCAGTAGGTCACTCAAGGTGGAGAGCCAGGTTTCACACCCAGCCTGTGGAGGCCATGCTCCCTCTGCCCACCCAGCCTCCCGAGGACCTGCTTGGAGTTCCTGGCTGGGGAGAGCTGCCCAGAGGACGGAGCTCTGAGGAGGAAGAAGAACATGTCGAACTGAGCTGTTTGGGCATCTTCATGGGGCCACCAAAGGGCCACGTTGATGGTGAAGCTGCAGGAACCATCTCCAACTTTGCTGGTCAGCAGGCGTTGACTCCTCCTGTCCTCACCCCAATTCCATAGTGAAAGGTCTCGAACTCAGCTGTGCACTTGACAATGGAGACAGATTCCCCAAAGCTGCTGTGAAGGTCCGCACATGACCTCAGGACTTCTTGGAACCGTGAGTGACTGTGCGTGATAAAAGGGCCTGTGATTCTCATGCATTGCCTCATCTCCTACAGAATACCACACACGGAATGTTCTTGAAGTGAGTGCCCAGGAATCAAAACCCAGGGCAGCCTTAACTAAATCTCTCCCTCTTCTTTCAACCCAGGTTTGCCCGTCGGTAACGTGAGAGGGATGGATGAAATGAGCTGTCGAGTCCTCCCCTCGGGGGCATTTCCCGAGCCTTCCATTCCATAAGTTCCACAAGATATCACTGAAAAGAAAGATCTGAGCCTGAGACTTCAGGGAATTCTAAGTTTCTTGTTTCCGATCCAAAAGTAAACAGCTGTCGGAGTTCAAAGAGAGGCGCCTTCCCCTGGGAGAGGCCCCTGGGCGAAGAAGTGGGTCCGTGGATGTTCTCCATGAGCTGACTGCGAAGGCGTCAAAGCGATCTGGGGTCACTGTGCCTTATCCACACACCTTGACCAGGGGCCTCGTGTGCCTGAGGCCCCAAAACATTCAGCCCCTTGGCCGTACCCTCAGCGACCATTCTCCACACCCCCAACAGTGCAGCCCCCAGGCTGGGGCCAACGTGAAACCCAATCCCTGTCTGCTCCGAAATGACCCAAGTGCCTGCAAGAAATGCTGGGTATGACCGGGAGTCAGATTTGTCCAGGGAAGTCCTGGCTTACCCGGAGTGTCCCAGCGTAATCACTAAGAGTGTGTGCTGGCTCGCTCTCTCCATCTCCCCCTCCACCCCGTTTCCCTCAAGAGCCACAGCTTGAAAGGTAAATTATACGGTTGCCTAGACAGAAAGGTTTAATGCTACCCAAGACACAACCTGAAAACCAAGACCTGTCAACTGCACAGTTTACGCTTATACAAATGAGAGAGAGAGAGAGAGAGAGAGAGAGAGTGCACACACAGGTGTCAACAGCTCCGGCCCTGTGTCTTTGGCCCACTACAATCTTTAATTTTTCTGATTTCTTCCGTGACCTCCTTTCCAGTGTACCCGTGTAGCCACAGACACAAAACTGTCAGCCTCATGCCATTTGGAACAGAGAAGTACATGGATGATTGGGGAGCACCTGGGGAAGCCGCAGGAGAGGACTGTGCCAGGAACTATCAGGTGAGCTTCCAGAATAAGGTATTTTAAATTTTGTTTCTTTGTTAACAGGCTCCCTGGCCTGGGAGTCGGTAAGATGCAGTAGATGGATGAACCCATACGCACACTAGACATCTGACCAAGTAGGTCGCCTTCTCCTTAGGGACAAGTTGGAAAATAGCTTGGCTGCAAGGGTCGTAAGCTGACGAACCAGAGAGCCAGCCCGAGGCCCTCCGCAGCGCCGACTCCCCTGGAGTGCTCCTGCTTGGACAAGGAAGAGGGCGGTGGGTGGTCAGACGCCTGGCCAAGCACAGCCCTGAGAAACGCAGCCTTGAGTGCCGTCTAGTTGGGACGCACAGGGCCGTGAAGGCGTGCAGGCCTCACCTGGCGGGGTCCAGGGAAGCAGCCCTGCACCTGACTCTGCTCCTCCGTCCAGGCTGAGAGTCGGGGGAAGCTGTGCGGGGTGGGGAGTGTCCACAGAGGTTGGAATGGGGGGACTGCAGGTAGGCTAAGACAACTGAGTGCCATGTGATCAAGTTAGGAGGCACAGAGGAAGGGACGAGAGGGTCGCTCTCCAGGGCGGGCAAGGCAGGTCACACCTGCATGAGGGTCCTGAAGGGAAGGTTGACACCAAGCTGGAGCTCATTCAGGAGCAGGCCCCAGGCCACATGCAGACAAAGACCGATCCCCAGAAAAGACAGGATAGTTTGGGGCGTGCCCCTAATCGCTATGGGGAACTAGGAACACCCAGGGCCAATGTGGGTGACATATACAGAGGGAGGGTTTCAGCTCTGCATAAGGAAGGATCCCAACTATGTGAGCCATCCCCAGTTAGAATGGGCTACCCCAATAGGTGGTGAGCTCCCCGTTCCTGGAGGCAAGCAAGAGAAGAAAGGAACTATGATCTGCAAGGGGTCGGAGGCAGGGAGACTCGAACAGCGAAGGGAGAAACCCAATAGTTCATTTTGAGGTTGCTCCCACTCAGAGCCTGGCACAGTGACTGCTTGGAAGTGTTTATTGAATTGATTCACAGATGATGGAGCCTCACCAGCAGTGACAGGGTGACTCGCAGGCCAGGCCCACACCTGACTGGCAAGCCCCCTCCGACGCGCTCCGCTGGGAGGGTGTTGTTCTTCCTCAGCTCTCATGCTGTTGTGAAGATCAAATTAAAGGAATTTTATGTGGTGAAGATCAGATGAATGGAGATGAATGTGCTTTGAAAGAAAAGCAGGAGGCTCTGTGGAAGAGCCCGGGTTGTTTTTCATTCTCAGCCTGGAGTGGAAGTCTCCGGGCGAGCGTATCCCTCTCATCATGGCAGTTCTGAAAGGGACCCCAAAGAATTCCTCTCCAGCCTTTTCAAGGAAAAGACATGGAAGTCTTCAAAGGCAGATAAAGTAATTTGTATTTATATGAAGTCAGAAAATTCCCTTTTTTTTCCTCCCAAGTTCCCACAATTTAGACCGTTAAAAGAACCATATTACAAAACAAACCACTCAAAATAAAGAGAGGAAATCAATCCCAGTTTAGACCTTGTTTAAAGAAATCATTTTAAATCCCACACAAGAAAAACATACAGAGGCCTGATAAATGTTCTGGAAGCTGGCAGGGCCTGCGAGGAGTGGGGGGCCGTCGGGGGCAGGACATAAACACACGTGTGACCGTCTCCTGCGGCTCGGGTGGCAACAGGATGGGCCTGGCAGTAGGGCCCTGTCCAGGCAGGATGGGCATCCAGGGGCCGTGAGTCTGGCGGGAGGGTGGCAGGGATCAGGTGGCGGCACAGATCAGGGCCTCCGTCCAGGTCAACAGGCCTCGCTTGGAAACCTCCAGGGGACTCCAGACCCAGCTGCAGAGCCCAAACCTCGCTCACAGGAGAAGGGTGGGAAAGTCCAAAGACAGGTTCCACCCGCCATGAGACCTTGTTTCCCACCCCACCCTGTCCCCTCTGATGGAGGCAGCCTTTGCTCTGCATGTGACCTGGGGCCTGTTCCATGTCAGCTTGGCGTCCCCCTCACAGATGAGAATCCCCCCCCAGGAGGCCCACCCCAGCAGGGTGTGTGGAAGAGGCTCTCTGACTCTCTCTTCCCTCTTAAGGCCCCTCCCTCCCAGGCTCCACCTCCTCTTTTAAATAACAGCACAATATCCTTTAGCCCCGCCCAGCAACGGCCCCCAATGTGTGAACAGCCCCAGGTTTGCCCTGGCCCCAGCACCTAGTCCCGCTACTGGGAAATCTCTCCCCTCCTCACCTGGTGCATTCCTAGCCATCTCTGCACTTCAGCTCACCTGGGGTCTCCACATTCGTCTTCCCTGCTGGGCTGTGGGTTCCTGGAGGCAGGGAGCAAGTCACAGAGAGGGGTAGAATGGGAGGAAGGGAGCAGAGGGGCTGGGAGGGAGGGCTGGCCATGGGCCTGGGGTATGAGGCAAGATGTGGGGGTGGCAGGTGGAACGGAGGTTTCAGGGGCCCACGGATCTGAGTCAGGGGCTCCAGATGCAGCTCTGGAGCAGCTAAGCTGGAGCCACAGTGGCCCCTCCCTCCCCCAAACATTCCCAGGTCCCATCACTTCAGCACGTGAGGTTTCCACCTCTGGGCGCCATGCGCCCCTCTTTGACCTGTCACCTGCTCATCTCATAACTCCCTTTGCCTTCCTTTACCCCACGATGGGCCTCATCGCCCTCCCCTCTGAGCTGCCTCTGGTGGTACCTGGCTCTGGGTGGTCCGAGGCCTTTCTGGCCATCGTTCTCACCACAGATGCCCAAGACCTTTTGCAGAGGGTCCTGGTGCCCAGGAGTCTTGTTCAGGAAGCTCCGCGCAGGAGGACAGGGAGGGGTGGTCCTCCGGCCCCTTGCCCTACGGGGGTTCTTCAGGCAGATGGCACCAAGCTTGCATCCCTTGTATCTCTGTTGTCTTGATTTTGTTCCCAAACACACCAAATTTAGCAGCAGCCACACTGTGTTCCCTCCACTCCAGGAATACAAGAGCTTGATAATCTGGAACATTCCGCTGGTGGCAGAAGGTGTGAAGACAAGCAATTAGATTCCTATTGAAAAGTCCTGATGACTTCTTCATTTCAGAATCCATTGCTCTTGTTTATGCAAATTCCCTCTGTTACTCTAAATTTTTTTTATTTCTCTAGCTTTCAGCTGAGACGTGTGCAGAAGCAGGAGACTGATAAGCTGCAAAGTACTAGAAAATGCCTGGCATGCAGTCGGCTCACGGAATATTTGGTGAGGAATGGAACGAAAGAGGGAGGAAAGCAGAGACCTCGCTGACTATATGAGCAACCCCTTCCTCCAGCACCCTCACGTCCTCCTAGATTTGGTCACTCCGGAAGTCCTCTTGCGTGTCTGTCTGCACACCGGCCTGTCAGCTCCCAGATGACAGGAGCTCCCAGCGTCACAGTGCCTCACAGTGCTGGACTCAGAATTGGCACTCAATAAACATTGGAATTACTGACGGATCAACCCATCAGTGACTCCAAGACTTCAGACAGTGGTTAGGATGAGCGATGTCTGACCTTGAGCCTTGGTCTTGCTATTTACTACCCTCTCTAAGCTCAGTTTCCTGTCCTGCAAAAAGAAGCACTGATCTCTGAAAATCTATCCTTGATGCCTCCCTGACAGTCTGTTACCACCAAAACTGCTTAGACCAGGAGCTCCTCCAGCTCAAGGGCCATGGGAGTTTTAGATCCTGTCTCCCTAGCACCCTGTTCAGAGCTGGCATCCAGGGAGACTGGGCATACATCTGTCCAGCCAAATGTTCTGGGGGCCCAGCTGCCTAACTCACACCTCCTCGGTAGATAAGACACCTCCAGGTCCAATCCTATCCTCAGTGTCGTGTGAACAGGGAACAGCACACATTTATTCAACTGAAAATCTCCGTGCCAGGGCCTGAGGTTGGCACTGGGGAGAGAGATGGAAACAACTGCTTCCCTACTCTCAGGGAGCTCCCAGTCAGGCTAGAAGGCAGACAGTGACAGGATGGAGGACAATACAGTGCTGCAGATTGAGCACAGAGAATGAGAAGCTTCCTCTGGGCTACAGGCCTATGGGGTGATCTTAGATCCTAAAGGTTTGCCCTTGGAAATTCCAGAAAAATACTATTTGGACTTGAAAAAAACATCTCTTGATTTACTTGGTCACTAGCAAGAATTCATGGAAGGGTGACACCTTCACCAGCTGGAAGTTCATGCCCTGAAACGCTGACCTTGAGCCTGGGAAGAGCCTGCAGCCATGATGCCCGGGCTTGGTTCCCTCCTCATGGCGATCGTTTCTTGCACAGCCCAGGTAGGGAAGAGTTCCACAGGGCTCCGTGCATGGAGGTGGACCTCTGTGAACTGTTGACCTGCCCAGGTAATCCCACCCCTGGGGAAAATGGCAGGAGAAGATCCTCCCAATGCCCAGGATGATTTAAGATCCAGAGGGAATGAAAGCCCCTTCATTCTGGTCCCTCGTTCCTTCCTGCCAATCCCTGCGGAGGAACTGCACCCAACCCTGGTAAGGTTCCTGCCATGAGAAACCAACTCAAGGTAACTTGAACTAAAGAGACTTTATTAGAAGGATGAATTCAGGAGCTTCACCTAAACACAGGAGACTTGGGGATGAGCCAGGGAAACTTCCAGACTCAGGAAGTCAGGACACACAGCAGCTCCCTCCCAGGGAGGCAGTGTGGTCAGGGCTGGCCTAGCCCAGACTTACCCATCAGGATCTGCGACACCCCCGTTTTCACCTGCACCCACTCACTCTGGAGCCACAGGGTTTGAAGGCCTGGGAGACAGCACCTAGTTCAGTGTCCCCATCTGTATTGGAGCAGAACAGGAAAGAGCTGGCTCACAGGCACTCATAGGATGTTACCTGGACTTTCACACATTCAGGGAAAGGCAACTTCCCTTTCCAGTAGAAACAGGTTGTTGTCAGGAAGGGAGAAGGATCTGGGCAGCAGAAGCCGTTGAATGGCCATCAGATGCTGCTACTTTTAGGAAGCTTGAGGTTTAACCCATTTGTGGCTGGCCCAGAATAGTCACTCAGTATTTTGTTAAAATAAATGAACAATTAAAAGTATCTGTACAGCTGGGCATGGTAGCGCACACCTGTGATCCCAGTGGCTCCGGACGGAGGCTGAGGCAGGAGGATTGCAAGTTCAATGCCAGCCTCAGCAACTTATTGAGGCACTAAACAACTCAGTGAGACCCTGTCTCTAAATAAAAAATACAAAATAGGACTGGGAATGTGGCTGAGTGGTTGAGAGCCCCTGAGTTCAACTCCCAGTACCAAAAAAAAGTAGCTGTACAATACAGAGAGTGTGTCTCCCCTTCTTTCCTGCAGAAGCTGGATGAAAATATGGGCATATTTTCTCCTAAAAAAAAAAAACCCCAAAAAACTAATATAGCCATGTACCTACTGCTTCTGTTTCTCTGGGAAACCCTGAATAATACACCCAAAGCCCATAGCACCCCCTCCTGCTGGGCCAACCCTTCTGAAGATAGCGAGCGCATGATGCAAGACCACAAAGGAATCCCAGCCTTCTCCAGGGAATAAACGCACACATGAGAGGCACAGGTCTTGGCAGGTCTGGGGAGAGATTTTGAGGACTGAAAAAAGCTCTCCAACCCCCCAGTCTACCGCTGATGAGTGGTGACACATTGGGCCTCAGTGGGACAGGGTGACTTACCTCTCCAAATCCTTCCTCTTCCTCCTCCATTGCCCTGCCCCTCAACAGGGCTTGCAGCTGGCCCTCCTCAGTGGTCTCTTCATGCTTCTTCACATTTGAGCCCCTTTCTCAGTATCTGGCCACCTCAGTATCTGGCTGTCCCCAGAGCCCTTACACATGCCACTTTTCTCGTCCTAGGCCTCCAAAGGCACGGCAGTGGCCTCTCCTGACCCCTAACTTCAGAGTTCTGCTTTCCACTGGCCTGCCTCTGTGCACCCTGCTTCCCCTGAGGGGTTTATTTGGCCATCAGTCCCTTAGTCCCATGGAGCCTTGGGCATGAGTGTGTCCCTGTGGCCCTGTTACCTGGCTTCTAAGGAATCTAGAGTTCAGGAACCTCTAGATGCAATTATTCATGTGACAAAATGATTGTTACCCAACCATTCGTCCCGTCTCCTCACATGGGTGGTCTGCACACACCCAAGGACTCTGTCCCATCCTTCCGTCTCACAGGTGACTAACGCAGAGTCACACATGCAGACTGAGACCCCACAAAGACCAGAACCAGGTATCCCGACTCCTCCTCCCGGCTGTGCCACAGTCTCCCCGACCACAGAGGAAGGCCCCATTCCCACAGAAGCTCTCGGAATTAACACACTTTTCTTCACCGAGAGTTAAACGAGGACAATGACGCCTCCCCTGCTTCACTCCCAGAGGTGCTTTGAGGATCTGCTGAAGTAATATGTGTGACAGTTCTTTGAAAAGCATAAAGTGCTATAGAAACAAGAGATTCAATTATAGCCGAGCCTCCACCCAGTCACGTGGCCGCTGCAGCAGGGTTTCAACTGCAGAAGAGAACGAAGCAGGGCCTTCCTGAGAGAAGCTGCTAACACCTTGACCATAAGGAAATCCTTCCCCAGCAGAGCCAGCTCCAAGCCAAACAGGGAGAATTGTTTGGAAGGGGCTCTCATTTCCTCCTTCCTATCCTCTCCCCCATGCAGAGTATTCAACAGGCACTAATTTCACTTTATAAATGGAAACTGAATCATTGCATTCCAGGCTGGAAAATGATTGGAAATGAGAGTATGTCCGAGGTCAAGACCTAGCCACTTCCTCTCTGGACAGGAAGTGGACTCTCCAAATGTTTCTTGCAGGGCCTCTCTTGATAAAAGGCCTGCTTTGGCCCTGGGTTGGGAGAGCATTATGCTGTTTTCAAATCAGACTTTAAAGGAGAGAGAGGAAGAAGAAAAACCAGGATGTCCCTCTCTAAACAGGGATGTCAGCTCAGGAAGGAGGGGCCGTGCAGCTGCCCTGTGGCGGGGGTTGTCGACGGCACAGGGATTGTTTAAACTCTCTTATAAACACAGGCATAGAGTTGTGGTGAGTCAGGGAGGGGTGCTTGCCCCTCTGCACACTGCACAAGGCCTCTGGGCCCCAGCGCCCTGCTCACACAGCGGGCTGCTCCATTGTTGTGAAGACACCAGGGAGACTTGGGGCTCTGGAGGGCTCAGCTAACTGGGGACTACACAGGGATTCCCAGACCCAAAACGTGTCCTGTGCCCGCGGCCGGGTCTCGGGAGCAGAGGCAGGGAGGGGAATTGAGAAACAAAGATGCACTTAGTGGCCTCACCGGGTCCCCAAGAACAAAGACTGTTCCTTTGGTTCCCCAGCTCCTGACTGCAGGGTGGACACAGTGGTGTCAGAAATGCTGTTACGCAGAAAGTGAAGGTGAGGGCAGCGTTGGGGGCCTCTCTGATCTAAGAAGTCAGCCAGGAAACAGAAGTGGTCACTGGGCAGGATCCCTGGGCATTCCCTGCCCGGCTTATTTCCAGGAAGGTGATTCGGATAGGATCCCGTCCCTCACGAGGGAAGAAGCCTCCAGGATGTGAGAAGATGAACACAATGGGAGCAAGGGGAGCATGAGGCCTGGTAGAAAAGCGGAGGCCAAGCAGACCTGGCTGGGACTGGCAGGCTCCAGGACTAGGCGTGGGGTCTCAGACCAAGTCACCATACCTCAGGCACAGGGAGTCCCTGCTTCCGCAGCTCCCATCAGACATAGGAACGTTGCACTTTTACAGTACTGTTGCTGTGAAATCATGCCTAAAAACGCAAACCCACGTTGACTTGGAGAGTTGAATTTGTTTACTCAAATATCTACAGACCCAGCTATAAAGAGCAAGCAGGCTCCGTCCTCAGAAGCCTAGATCTTCTAAGAAAAAGAAGATGGAGACAAATTTCTTGCTCATTGCAAGAGTAGCACATAAGCATTGTCAAAGCACTCAGTCCATTAAAGAATGAATTAGCAAGAAAAACAACTACTGTTACCATGTTGGTATTTTCTTCTAGTTTTTGTATTAATTTTTAGGCTATTATACTTTGTATCCGTTTTCTTGCTGTATAACAATTCAAAACCTTGGCAGCTTAAAACAACACCCATTTATTATCTCACGGGGGTCCACAGTCCAGGTGGGCTCCACTGGTTGTTTGCTTGAAGTCTCACAGGCCAGCGTCCAGGTACCAGCCAGTGTCAAGGTTCCAGCCAGCTGGGCTTACTTAGGGGCTGGAAACCTCCCTCCAGGCTCACTCAGGTTGTTGGCTGCTCCTTGCAGCTGTGGGAATGATATCTCCGTTTCCTTGCTAAGCTTCTCTTAGCTTCTAGAAGCTCCTTTCTGGAATTGGCTCATGGTTCCAGTGAGGCCACGTTAAGTCCTCCTCATGCCCTGGATCTCCTTGACTTCCGTTTACAGCCAGAGGAAGCACTTGGCTCTGGAGTCTCTCTCTTACCACGTCACATAACACACTATCAGGAGTAATGCCGGGGGGAAAGGTCACATGTGACATGTGAAAGTCATGCCTATTATATATACAGTGTAGGTCTAATCCGTACCTTATCCTCACACTGGTTATTTATTGCTAGAATCTACTGGGGCCATGTTCTGTTTTGATTGCTGAGTTATGCTTAGTTATCAACTTATTTGAAGACCGCCTCTGCCTGTAAGCACACTCTTTATCAATGACATTATAAGGGTTAATTTTACGTGTCAACTTTACTAGGCTAAAAAAAAAAAAAAAAGGCAGTTCCAGAAGAGTTTGATGTTAAAATTAGTAAATGAATAAAGAAGACCCCTGACCAGTGTGGTGGGCTCTGTCCAGCCCACTGAGGACCTGGACAGAGCAGGAAGGCAGAGGAAAGGCAAGTGTTCCCTCTTCTTGAAGTGGAACACCATCTTTCCTGCCTTCAGGTTTCAGTTTCTGGTTCTCAGGCCTTTGGACTGTGGCACTTACACCATGCCCACCCTCCTACCCGCTGTGTCCCCCATCACCAGATCTCATTCTTTCAGTCCCAGACTAAATTACATCGCCAGTTTTCCTAGCTCTCTAGCTTGCAAAGGACAGATGGTAGAACTTCTTGGCCTCCATAATCATGTGAGCCAATTCTGTGTGTGTGTGTGTGTGTGTGTGTGTGTGTGTGTGTGTACACAAAACTTGTTTGTTTAGCCATTCATTTATCCAGTAAACAAATATTGACTATTTCCATTGACTCTGGGGAATGACATAATCAGCTTTGTATTCATGCAGATTTCTCAGTGTGAATTTGGAAAATTAATGGGAGACCAGGCAGAAGCCACAGAGACAAATCGGAACAGGGGAGACGTAGAGGGAATTTGGGTGGGAGAAATGTTAGCCAACCCGCATCTTCACTGGGAACCTATGCACTGTGTTCTTCCAATCCACAAACAAATACTGAGCACCTATTATATACCTGGAATTGTTCTGGGCCCTGGAATTACAGAGAAATAAAGAACCCTTCCTGCCCTAACAAGGTGCTCAACTCTAATAAGTAAGAGAAACATAACAGGCTAAAAGCCAGGGTCTAGGTCTTGTCCTCGGGGATCTGGAATATACAAAAGAGGAGGAGGCCAATTCTTCACGGGCAGCCAGAGGTCAGGGGAGAGGTCATAAATGGAAAGTGTGAAGGTTGTGTCCCCTTCCTATGTTGAAGTTCTGACCTCTAGGACCTCAGAATATGGCTTTTTTGGAGATGGGATCTTTATAAAGGGAATCTAATTAAAATGAGGTCACTGGAGTGGGCCCTAAGCCAGCAGGTCTGGTGTCTGTACAGAACAGGGTAAGTTTGTACACAGACACCTTCCCAGAAAAGAAGCCCAGTGGGGACACAGGCAGAGGTGAGGGCAAGGCCTCTGCAGATGAGAAACCAGCCAGACCAGCAACCACCAGAAGTTAGGGGAAAGGCCTGGAAGGTTCCCTGAAGCCTTCAGAGGGAGCGTGGCCCTGCCCATCTGGACCTCCGACGTGTAGCCTCTAGCAGTTCCACATGAGGACCTCTGTCGTCCAAGCCCCTGCACTGATGGTGCTGTGTTACGGCAGCCCTCGTGGACCAACCAGCAATAGGCACGGGGCCTCTTCAGGGAGACACTGAGTGGGAAACTGAGCCCAGTTTGGGAGCTGGTGCGCAGGTGGGAAGCAGGGGCTGAGATGCAGAGGCAGGCAGGGTACTGCTTGCTGAGCTGAGGGGATCCAGCTTCACCTGGAAGGTCATTGGAGAGTCCTAGAAAGATTCTGAGCAGGGCCAGGACGTGGTGGGAGGGCCCTGGCATCCGTGTGGGAGACGCGCTGCGGGGCCAACAAGAGAACGAAGCCCATTAAGACGCTGGTGGAATTTTTCAGGCAGTCATAGCAACGGGCTGATCTGGGTCCACAACTGAGAAGGTAGAAGCACAGGCTTGGTGGCCAGTGGGGTGTGACGAGGAAAGGCACGTCGGATGACTCTCAGCCTCCCGCTTCCACGTTATTCTAGGAACCCCCAGACCAAGACAGTGGGCAGACAGTTGTCAGTGCCCCCTGCCGGGTCCCCGCACAGGGTTGGACCAGCTGACCTCAGGCTGCCCCCTCTGACAACTTCAGGTGTGGTCCCTGTCCAGAAAGAGGAAATTAAGGCCATCTTGACATAGGCCCTCCACACCCTGGAGAAGAAGAAACTCAGTGAGTGTTTCCATCGTCACAACTGCCGTGGGAGCTGCCAGGAAGTCCCAACAGGAAACTCCCATTTGGAAGTGTTTTGTTTTGATTAGAACATGTTTATTCCCCTCCAAGGGGAACCTGCCACTTTGAAACTGGGACCGAGCCGGGTGCTCATCCCTGGCGCAGGCTCCAGAAGGGCTTTGGCCATCTCTGAGGGCAGGGGGCACAGCCAGGGTGCTGGGGCGAAGATCAGGGAGCCCCGAGTCCAGTGCCACAGAAACAGTTGTGGCGTGGAAGGCCAGTCCTGCAAGCCCCCAAAGGCTGGCATCTGGAGGGGACCCTTCAGAACCAGGATAAGCCACTTTAAGAAGCAATAGATGCTTTTAAATTTGGCTTGGGATTCCCGAGGCCCAGATGAGCTCAGTTCCTGAACCTTGACTCCAAATCATCATTCAGGTTGACACTAACAACAAAGGTCCAGGAGCAGATGACTCAGTGGCAGCCTTTGTTTAGGAGGCTCGTGCTTAAACTTTTGCCAAATAGCTCCACCTCCGCTTCCAGGATCCAGAAAGGCCCCCACCAAGGAGCAGGAGAGCAGGCCAAATTCAAGTTCCCTTGAGAGCCAAGAACCCCGGAGACCAGAAGCCCCTGCCAGCCTTTCCCACTGCCCCCCTCCACTGCTCCTTCATCCCCTGGAGCAGAGGCCCCCGAGCCTAAGCTGAGTGTTAACCTCAGGC